AAACGTTCGCTTATTAGTACGCGTTTTCTTTTTAAGACGTCGACTGGCAGTTATTTCTCCACCATTCATTGCTTTCAGCTGGGCCATCAAAAATATATCTTGTTCGGATCTGGAGAGAGCTTGAAACGCCTCCCGTAATTCGGCAACTTTTCTCTCGGAATCTCTTTTGAGCAACCACAATTGCAACCTATATCCAAGAAACATATTGCTTTTTCGTATTCAATAGAGCCATTGTATTCACTATTTGTCATATACGGATAATCCTATATATAAATTTTATTACTTGTACATATAGCAATTTGCATGTAGTGCACATGATTAGATCATCATGCTAATTTTGACAATTAATAAACTAGAATTCTCTGTAGCACTAAGCCTATAATAAATTTCTAAATCTACTGTCAAACAGGAAGTTTGATAAAAACTTGCAATCATTACAGATCTTCAATAAGCCTGCACAGAATTTTTAGTGTGATGAACAACTTTCATAGGAAATTGTTTTGGAAGAAACCATTCTTGTTGAAATTGCAGCATTACCTGCTTCCTGAAGGAAAATATATTTAGTTTAATAAACTAGCATTTGACGTTTTTTATATTTCAAAGGCTTAGCATTAGACTTACTTTGAATTTCAGTATCCATTTACTGTAATCTAACTGACCCTCTACCTCCCATTCATAATATCGTGCCCATTGTGCAAACTCACACAATAAACATTCAGCACAATGATCCTTCACATGTTCTGAGATAATTCCACCAACAGTACTTGGTTGGTAGTGTGCTGTAAACAAGCCTATAAGTGCAAATTTACGCTCTGCAAGAACACCTCCATTAATTTCATTTGAAGACTGAGACCAGGGGAGTGAACCTTTGAGTAGTTTCATAAGAACCAGTGAGAGACTGACAAGATCATCACCATATGAACGTCCAAAATAAAGTATCAATGGTGATACAAATTCGGTATTTACATGTAAATATGATGGTAATTTATCTGCTGCATTGCTCACAGATGAAAAATCAATTAAGACATATTGATCTGTTTGCCATCCAAGTGGGGTGTCAACTGCAATTATATTCGAATCAGATACGTCACCATGAATATATCCCGCGCGATGAAGAGTTTGGAGAGCCAGAAGAATTGATGCAGCAACATTACAAACCATTGTTGGAGCTACTGGTAAAGATAGAGTACGCAATGATTTCCCCAATGGTTCTTCCACTAATATTCTTTTCCCACCCTCTACATCAACTCCAACAGCCACAATTTTTGGAAGATTCTGATCAGTGCCAGAGATTTTGCTGAGAATGTTACTTTCACGATCTGCTGCTCCAGCTAATTTTTCGATCTTAATTACATACTTTTGTTCTTTGATAATACCTTCAAGGACATCAAAACAGGTACCACTACCCAAAATTGTTCCAATCTGTACAGGAACAGTGCCCTTGTAAAGCCTGCCATAACTAGCTTCCACACGCATCAGAAATGTATCCTGAAATACATTATCTGTAACCTCAGCAGAGGCACGCAAATCTAGCTTCTCAAGGTATATGAAAATTTGAATTATATAATGGTTCAAGTCTTCCCATTTTTTGATGCCTGAATTGATGACGTGAATATCATTATTATCTACATATGACATCAATATAAGCCAGCTTCGTACGTCGCTAGCAATAGAAAAGTATGTATAATGTCGGGTATAATTATCCGTTGGTTGCCGATCTCTGGTAGCATAAAACAACGCCGTAGCTTCGGCCATTTGACCCAAAACATGTTTGTAATCAGTTTGCAAGTTTCTCTTGACTTCGAAAGAGAATGTTTTGGGGTATGGAATTTCTTTTAACGACTCCAACAGAGGTCTGAGTTCGTTAATGACGTCAGTTCGGCCAATATGTCCATCGATATAGACTTTACCAGATTCGCCGCCATGACGATAATCACTTAAGACACTAAGATCAAATCCTTGACAAGCTTGTTTTAAAATTGCGGCAACCACTGGCTGATAATCGTTTACTTCGTCAGTTTTCCCTTTTACCTGTGTTATAAAACTCTCGATATCATTCAGACCTATTCTTTCCAGTATATCCCTGGAGGACGAACGTTCATCTGGTGTTATTAGTTCCGATAACCTATTCTCAATCTGTTGAAGATCAGTTTCGAACTGCTCGGAGTCTTTTAAAAGAGAGTAAAACGCCGAAGAACTACGTGTATCGCGTCTCAAAATCAAGCCCAGGGTAGTTCCTACTGATATAATAGTATTTGAAAGCAAAAAAGATTCAATTTATAAGCGAAGAAACATATTACTATGTCTACCCTACACTACTCTATGTCCCCAACGCCCGAGTCACAAAGTCGTTACCTGTCTGAGTAGCAGTGTATCTGTCCTGTAACAGACGCACCTGCTTTCTCGCATCGCTAACCTCCTCATCCAGCCTCTCTTGCCTCTTCTCTAGTTTCTCCTTCTCCTCCTTCCACTCTGCCCGCTGCGCCTCGGTCCCTTCATCGTTCCATAACTTATCTTCCAACCATGTCAGCCGCTGCCCGTGTCTTCCCTCGTTGAACTCTTTCAACGCCGCCTCCGCCTTCCCCAACTGCACCTTGGCGTCGTTCAGTTCTCTGCGCGTTTCTTCTACGGTCGTCATTTCTTTTTTTCGTTAATGTAATATACTAACACTGATCAGTGGCTTAGTCAATGACGTAAGTATTACGCAATTTTTGCGATTGTCCATTGTATGCAGAGTGACCAATGATAATTGATGCGCAGCAACGCGGCAATTTGTCTATTTAAGCATCATGAATTAACGATTTATGCTTATTTTCAGAAAAATCGACCACAACTCAACAAATATCGTTTAAAAAAGATAAAAAGCCAGATCTAACAATTTTTATCAATAAATTCTTTGCAAAGAATGTTTACATTCACAAGTGAATTCTTTCTCGGAGTATTAATTGGCTTCGTTCTCGGCCTGTTGCTAAATGGCATACTTCGTAACGGTCGGCTAATAATACTGGAGCCCTAATTCAATCGACGAAGTTAAAATTCATAACAAAACTGCCAGCGCGAACAAATTTTACTCGCCAGAAATTGAAAAATTGTGGAACGATTTAAAACGATTACAGTCGCACCTCCATAAAAGAACCCTCTATAAAAGAACGTCATATAAAAACCTCTTCACAAGAACATTGCATCAAAGACCCAATTATTATTAAACTTATAGAAAAAAACCTTTATAAAAGAACACCTCTTCATAAGAACATTTTTTTCAAAAAATTACTATGGTCCCAGCTTGGTTCTTAAATAGAGGTGCGACTGTATACGACAAAAGAATTAAATTGGATCCAAAATTTTTTTTTAACAAAATGGCGTTCGAAATTTATAAATTACTTAAAAAAAAAAGACTGTTGCAGCTTCTACGATAAGAAATTTTTATTTTCAAAGAACAATTCCGCGCAGAAAAAGACGATCGAAGCAATCCAACGTTGGATCGAGGAAAACGTAAACCACTCAGAAGACGATGAAAATAAAGATAGTGATAATGTTATTAATAGTAGCAATAATAAAAAAGATAATGAAATTTAAATTTGCACCAGAGTGACCAAAGAATAGGTTATACTCATCAATGGCTTTGGGTCCGAGTATTTTCCTCCCATGCAATCACTTTGGTGCTTTTAACATTATTTATATTTTCAAGAGCGCATTTCAATAATTGAAATAATAAAATTCATGCTTACGAAAAAATTAAAATATTTTTATGTTGTTTGACGTTTTTAATTGCAATGTGTCAAAAAAGCAAAATGCGAATTCAAAGCTCAACGAGGTCTATAAGAAACGATTTCGTTGATAGGTCGCTCGATCAGTAGAGAAAGTTTTTACGTAAATTGTTTTTTCCTTTATCTTTCTTCAAGTTTTCGTTTCTTTCTTGGTTCATCATGTGCTGGTGTTAATGCTCGTTTATGGTTTATTATTTCTTTTTCTTCTTGGTAAATTTCATAAGTAATTTTTTCTTTATCTAGATATTTCTCAAGAATTTTGGTGTCATTAATTTTAAAAATATACGGAGCAATTTTCTCTTGTTATTGTCTGGTTTTGTTGCAGCATGCCCCAAATAAAAACTTCATATTGTTTATTATAATTCAATTACTTCAGTACTAGTACTACCCACAAGACCATCTATGTAGTGTTTATGATCAAGTGTTCATAATACAAGAGTGCAGTTACCCAATCCAAAATATATCAACTGAATTTTGACAATCAACTAAATCTGAAGCAAATAGGAAACCAGTTATTATAATCATCACTAAAAACTAAAACAATTTTATAATATTGTCAACTTATGCTTTCCCACACCATACCAATCAAATCAAGAACACAAACACTCATATTCCATACAGAACATAACTGACACAATTTATTATTATAATTATAAGATAGTTACAATATACTTGTTAAATAAATCAATTAAAATTCCAACAATTTATTCTCCCTATATAAATATTAATATGACAAACGTCATTTTGTCAATAATATAATAAAGCACTTCTCAATTTTATACTAATTATAATAACTATATTTAATTTACTATCAAACTGATTTCTATTAATTCAATCTTTTTTCTAATTTTTTCCTGCACCTCTGCCCCATTTTTTATAAAAAGTGTATACCTTACTTCGTGCTTTACTATATCCCTGTTCAGCTGCACTTTCATATAGCTCAAGTGCCTTTTTCATATCCATTTCTACCCCAACTCCATTCTCATAATACAGACCAAGAATATATTGTCCATAAACATTTCCTTTTTCAGCTGCTAATTGACACAAACTAGTTACTGAATTAATTCCAAATTCTAATCCAGCCACTTCACTATAATACTTATCATTTTTAACTTGCACTGATAAATGTGCCTGTTTTACTGCACTCTGATATAAATCAACTGCTTTCTGTTCATCCTTTTCTAGTTCCATTTTCATAATGTACAGCAAGATTAAATTGAGCATTGGCAACTCCTTGTTCAGCAGCTTTTTTATACCATTCAACTGCTTGTTGTTCATCTTTTTCTACCCCAGTTCCATTTTTATAAAATAATGCAAGACGAAATTGAGCACTGGCATCTCCTTGTTCAGCTGCTCTGTGATAAATTTTATATTAATCTTTTTTCATTCTAGTATTAGCATAATGGCGAGTATCACATACAGTAAAAATGTACAAATAAGCGAATTAAGTTGTGCAAATACTACCACAGTTCCTTGCTTAATGTTAAGGATGGTTAGTAATTAAGTATACAATATAATCATCTCGTTCATTTCCTGGTGAAGTTTCTATCATCGCCAAAAGTGTAAAACGCTTTCTCACACCGATGGTAAATGGGAGTTGAGCTTACCATAGACTTTGTGGAAACGTTGACGATATGATTATTATCACCAACGCTGTTAATATAGGATAACTTTCCCAACTTATAAGCTTTTGAAACCAATCTCATAAAAAATAGACGTAATATTAAAGTTCAAGAATAGCGTATGCAAGACCGATTGGCATCGTAGTATTTTAAAAATCAACGTTAGGAACACTAATCGTCAGTAGTAAGCTTAGTGCTTTCCTGCCCGACAGCGCGCTTTAAATTGAAATGTGTTGTGTTACGAAATTAGTAAAACTCTCGTCTACAATTCTTAGCACTAACTCAGTTATAGAAAATTCCTTAAAGCTACGTCAAAGTTAATTGCAGAAATGTGTAATGAAAATTTTAATAGTGACAAAATCATTGTTTGGTTGCATTGCATTGTAATTGGCTTATATTATCAAACTCTACCCTATTACATGCAGAGCACGACAATAATAATCTAATACTAATATTCGATATAATTCTCTTTAGAGACGACACGTAGTAAATTTGTTATTCCGTTTATAGCAACGTCAAACCGGTCTATAAAATACATGACATCAGGCCTGTTCAATTCTGTTCCGTTACAATTTGTGCCGATCCCTGATTGGCGGATTAAAAATCACATGATGGGAACAGATGGGAACAACAAATTTGCAGTTCC